AGATACGCCTCTGGCACAAATCTCATGGCAACGCCTCAACAGGCAATGCATCCACGCGCGGCGTCACGCGTGCGACCGCGTGGCATCGTGCCGCGGCACGCACCTTTCTGGTGCGGTTCGGGTACCTAAAAAACCGAAGAAATGACAAACATCTGTTCTTGTGCATTACTAGTAGCAAGAAGCTACTAGTAACAAGGGCATTTCAATTTCTACTAGTAGCAAGAAGCTAGTAGGTCTGGAATCGGTTTTTTCTCCCCTTGGGAGCAGGTTCAGTTTGCCGTCGTGCTTGGACTAAGATCCCTGGGTGCTTGGCCGAATACGTTGCAGCTACCCGTACTCGCTTGGAGCATGCACTTAGAACATCGCCACGTGACCTGGGAGGTGTTGACTTGAATCTGTAGCCACCTTATTTGGGCAGCTACTAGGTGGAGGCCATCGCTACTAGCAACAAAACGTCCGTAGCGGCCATACCTTTGGGCAGATACCAATGTTGGATTCAGCACTGTGGGAGCAGCATCTTTCTCGGCATGACTTCCTGATCTTCACCGGGCCTCCTGGTGGTCTTTGCCCCCAGTTCCTTGAAATCATGAAGAAGATCTAAGTAAGAATCTGAACGTTACTCATACTATGGGCCTCCTGTCTTTCTCGGAGCAACTTGTTCTTTCGCCTGCCCAGGAGAGGCTCCAACAGCTTCAGCGTGCTTGCGTCCGGAAAGTAACCTTGGAGGTTTCGGCCGGGCATGACAGGAGAAGGTTGATGAATGCCTTCTGAACAAAACAGGGACCGACAGCACCGCCCGAAGTCGGTGTCATGTTTCACCGTGCGGTCCAGGGAAAGACTCTTGAGCCACCTGAGACTTCAGATACCTTCACAAGCAGCTTGTGCGCCGGTGAAATTGCAAAGTGAGCAACAAAGCTTAACACACAAGTTAATAATCACCCTCCCCCCCAACAATCATGGAAGTGGACAACCCCCTCTTGGTGGAGGAACATAGTCTTCCTCTCGGGGCCAGAACGTTCACTTCCATGATTGTTGGAGCGGGAGCAAGCAACATGTGCAACCGAACCAGGAGCGCGCCCCGTTCGTAGCGTCCTTGTTCCGTTCGTAGCGATGCCCTTTGTTCCTCCACCCGAACGGTTGGACCTTCCGAACAGTTTGACCACCCCGTAAACACACCAAGTCGTCGAAGGCTTTCAGAATGAGCTGAGTTTCTCACCCCCGGGCAGCTGATGCTAGCTGATTGAACAAGAAATTGCAATACGCCAGCATAGACCCCAAATAGATCCTAATAGCAACTTATATCACTCTAAAATATGGGGAGACCAGTGAGGAGACAAGAGAGAAGTAAACACTCCTATAGCTTTCAGCTCAAGACCTGCTGTAAATGGGGCAGTCGACTCACTGGGGAGCAGCTGAGTGGTCGGCCATCTGAAACCATCTGCCTGCGAATGAAACAGCGATTGCCTTCCCCTCCACTAGTAGCGTCCTTGCTCCTAGTAACGATGCCCTTTGCTCCTAGTAGCTTCTGGCCACTAGTAGTAAGGCCAGGAGCTACTAATAGCGTCCTTGCTCCTAGTTCATCATAGTTCATCCATGCATGTCATTTCACTTCCTTGCATTCCAATAATTTCTTCACACGTCTGCTAATTTGACCAAGCACTTCTTGTCTGTGCACCGGTTCGTTGATTTTCTGATCCGTCCTGTCCAAACAGGCTTTTGCATCATCACAATTGACCCGTGTGAGCGTGAGGCTCTAGTAAACAACCCCCTCCACATCACCCGATGTACCTTTAACATCCCTTGGCACAGCACGGAAGAGTCCGAGGATGTTCCTTGGAATGGCTGCCTGCCGTTTTAAGCCAGTCAGCCGATGTCACGGATGAAAGAAGAGCTTTGCAATGCTATTCACATCTTTTTTAAACACCCCATCCTACGATCCCACGGAACCTGAGAATCGACCGGTGGTTTCGACCCTTTTCCTCATACCAACCCGATGGTTTTGGAGTTCCATGTGGTCCTCGGAGTGACATCCGAATGGCCCGCCCTTCTCACGTCCCATCTGAAAGAGCCTCAGGAAATCCTCCGTTCGCTGCTTGCGCCGCTCGTCGAGGCCTTCGGAGGACTTCGCGCAGGCCTCGCCCGTTGAGGTGGCAGCTGGAAGTTATCTCGCAAAGCCTGGTAGCTCCTGACCTTACTAGGAGCAAGAAGCTACTAGGAACAAGGGCATCGCTACTATAGGAACAAATAGCTACGAACGGAACAAGAAGCTACAAAAGAACCTAATAGCAATGGCCTCCAACCGAATAGCTATGGCCTATCCCTTTTGGTTCATACCAAGAATACACCCAACAATCTAAACTCTCAAATGGAAAAGGTTTCAGCGAACGAAGCCCTCATCACGGGCTTTCTTTTTGAATCAAGAGTGGACCCGAGCTGATTGAAAGAACGCCAGGCCCAACGCAGGTCCATCGTCGCTCCACCTCGTTCTTTCAAGAAAAGAACTTCTTCTGCCCCGGTCAAGTAAGCTCTGAGTCACCTGGAAATGATTCAAATGATGACTCCCGCCATACTCTGCTGCTTTTAGTCCGCAGCTTCCCTCCCAACACAGCGACCGTCAGCCTTTAGGAGCTGCAAATATTCGGCCCTGCCCGGGAAGAGTGAAACGGTCGAAGGGGGGGGGTGAATGTTTGGTGCACCCAGACCAGACGAATGGGACTGGAAGAGTTAAAACGTACCATCAATACCATGAAAAACGACCTATCCATGCAACTCTTCCAGTCCTGGATGATCTGGGGTTGCACTTTAAGCTACAGGGACTCCCAAACTTGAATGGCATGAACCTTTTGAAGGGCCGTGTCTGATGTACCCTACAGATTCATGTCATGGCACCATGTCATGGCCAGAAATCAACTCGCAAGAGACCCTTAGGATCTCGGAAGACTTGGGATCAACACGCACACACACGCTGCTATAGAAACGAACCACGCCTGACACCAGCACCACCCAAATCTGATGGTTATGGATGTTATTAGATGGTATGATGGTAAAGTACATCCTAGGGGTCTATAAACCACTCGAACAAGGTGGTGCTGGCAGGAGTTTCTTATTTTGTTCTCCACTTTTGCTTTCTTCGTCCGTTGGATTCGAGGGGAGCGCTGACCTGGATGATCTTCCATCCGCAGCGAGACTGCCTTCAGACAACGGATTCTTGCATTCCTCACAATTCACCGAGTGCCAGCTGGTGAAGCTTCAAAGTGGAGCACAAGCCGGCCCCCCCCTCCGAACTACGGCGCACCGTGGCACCGTGGCCAACACCGCTGTTTCCACACCGGGCGAACATGCCCGCTCTTAGTAGCGTCCTTTGCTCCTAATAGCCCCCTGTGCCCGGCCGGGGGCCTTTGCACCTTGAGGCCGAAGGACTCCATGAGATCGGCACCTCGCTGCGGGAGCGGCGGACGCGGGCGGACGCGGGCGGACGCGGCGGGCGGATTCGGAGCGTCCGGTGGGACGGTGGGTCGGTGCCAACCGCCCTAAAGCAGGCCTAGCAGGGCGGCCCTTGCGGCGAAAAGCATGGGAGAAGTGAGTGAGAGAGTGAGAGCGTGAGTTAGAGGAGTGGGTGGGTGAGAGTGTGAGTGAGAGAGAGAGTCAGAGTAGAGTGAGAGTGAGCATCTGAGAGCACAAAGTGCTGCACCTGCCACGAAATCTGCACTTCGAGGTTCACAAAGTGCTACAGACTCGGAAAAGCAGGCTCGCCCGAACATCCATCAACAGAGAAGGGCCAACATCTCAACATCCAGGTAGATACATGTCTACCAAAAGAGCAGAAAACGAGACTGCTTGTCTATACATGAGTGTGGCCTGGAGCCGAAGCTGACTCCTACGACTGGGGCTCTCCTCTTCCCATAAAACCAAGCAAGGCCGTAGCTCAGGCCATCTAGGCCTTCAAAGTTCGGTGATGTGCAGGTGATCCACTAGTAGCGTCCTATCGCTCCGTTCGTAGTAAGGCCAGGAGCCCCTAATAGCGTCCGATCGCTCCGAACGTAGCGATGCCCTTTGCTACTAGTAGCATCCTTGCTCCTGCGTAGAAACAACGCACTCCTCCCGCACTTCCTTCGAAAGCTCAGGGTCGTACATCGACTGGCCGATTTGATGTCGCCCCTGAGGCGCGGGTCGTCCATGCTGCCGCTTTGAACGACCGACAAGGGCACTGGTGTGAGGTTTGGAACCCTTAGGCCTTCCATTTGACCATTCTAAAAGTGGTTGGACCTGAGTGTTGCAGTGTAGAATCCTTAGTAAAAATGGTGCATTGGAATCCTCTGAAGGAGGAGTGGAAGGTGTGAAGAAGTGCCCCGGTGCCCCACAAGTCCCATCGTCCCTGTCCGAAGTCCCTGACCCGATGAGACCAAAAGACCGTCGACGAGTTCGGTGCCCAGAATCGTGGAACTGGACTTCGGCAGTGAATCAGGGGTGAAAAGCAGTGTTTGTGCTGGTCTTTAAGGCAAAATGAGGCATCCCAACCAAATACTTGATGCACGAAGTCTTCCGAAAGTTCCTGGTGGGTCGGGGAAAGAACCGAACATTTAACCGGCTCTAGAATGCCTACAACTCGCTAAACCGACCAACAAGCACGAGGTGACCGAAGGAACACCGAGACACGTTCTCGTGTCTTCGTGCGGTTCGGAATAAGGATCGTTGACCATCCGAGTCGAGGCCATGGCTATTTGGTTGGAGGCCATCGCTATTTAATAAAGGGCATCGCTACGAACGGAGCGGGCATCGCTACGAACGGAGCGGGCATCGCTACGAACGGAGCGATCGGACGCTACGAACGTTGCGCTCCTGGCCATACTACTAGTAGCAAGGACGTTATTCTTTACTAGGTTGGAGACCATCACTCTTAGGCCAATGGCTATACTTCACCGGCCAAATCCACCCCGGCGGCGCCCAAATGCCGCGGCCGACCGTTTCGTTTCGTGACTTTTCTGCTCCGCTTCGCGGTGTCACACCATCTTGGGAAGTTCCTCCTTGGATTGGCGACGGCGAAACGGAAGCCAACCGTTGGGGAATCAGGTGCGCAACCAATGCGCAAAAGGGGATACAACATGTCTGCCTGTTGTGGCTGGTTTCAATCCACTATATTATAAAAGACAGAAACTGGGCACAGTTGGAAGCTCTCTTGCCAAAAGACCAGCAGGTCTCCGAACGCCTTCGCCCTGAACATCTTCGGCCTGTTTTCTTCGTCGGAGAAGCGATGGACGAAGCCTTCTCCAAGGAACGCGCGAAGAACGGGAGGAGCCGCGATGAAGAGTCCAGTTGAGCCACGATGGCCAAGCGCCAAAGACCTCGTGGTCGCGGCCTCGGGCGGGGCAGATCCACCGCGGGCGGATCGCCTCGATGAAGACCAAGCGAAAAGAGGCCGGTGCGGAAGGGACTGCGCTTACATCCGTGCGGGCTCCTTGAGTTGGGGGGGAAGATAGCCTCCGCAAAATGTTGTGTATGTTTGATGGAAGATAGTGTTTATTGAATTAAGATTGACATGGTTTGGGTGGAAGATGGCCTCCGCAAGAGAACGACTTCCTCTAAGTGCTATACTTCCATGTTTGCACCACAGGGAGTGCCTGGAGAGCCCTACAAATGTCCACATGGCAGCTTTCATGTTCTTGTCGAAACAATAAGCTACTAGGAACAAGTGCATCGCTTCTAGTAACAAGTGCCTTACTAGTAGTAACAAGAAGCTACTAGAAACA